GCCCCCCGGTAACCCGCCCCCCCAGCACCCCCGGCTCTCCGTGAACCTCCCAGCGCAGTGCAGTCCCTCAAGATCCCCATATGCCCCTTGCCCCACATGTCCCCCATCCCTGTTTATCTCCCCTCGCTCCCGTAACCCCTCGCCCCATTTCCTGGGGGTGGGGCAGTGCAGGGGCTGGGGTGACTCTGACAGCCCCAGAGGGAGGGGTGCGGCGGGGTGGGGGGCTGAAGGGGTAGGTGGGACCCAGGGAGCGGGAGCTGGGCCGGCTTGGGGGGGTCTCTCCAGGGGGGTCTAATCTCCCCCTGCCCCCCAGGGTTTGACCCACAGCAAAGCGCAGGAGATCCTGGTGCGGGACGGGCCCAACGCCCTGACGCCCCCCCCCACCACCCCCGAGTGGGTCAAGTTCTGCCGCCAGCTCTTCGGGGGCTTCTCCATCCTGCTGTGGATTGGGGCCATCCTCTGCTTCCTGGCCTACGGCATCCAGGCCGGCACCGAGGACGACCCGGCCAACGACAACGTGAGCGCGGGGGGGGGGGGGGCGCAGGACGGGGGCAGGCTGTCTGGGGACAATGCTGGGGGGCTCAGTGGGGGGGAAGGGGTTGGACGGGGGGGGCGGGATGGAGGGACCCAGCCCGGGCTGTGACTGTGGAGGGGGTCGGGGCCGAGAGGGGGCTGAATGAGGCAGGGCATGTGGGAGGATGGGGGGCATGATCGGGGGAGGGGGAGACAGGCAGGGTGTGGGTGATGGCGGGAGGGGTGGGGGCTGGCTGGAGGCTGACCCCCCCGCGGGTACTGACCCCCCCGCCCCTCCCCCAGCTCTACCTGGGCATCGTGTTGGCCGCTGTCGTCATCATCACCGGCTGCTTCTCCTACTACCAAGAGGCCAAAAGCTCCAAGATCATGGAGTCCTTCAAGAACATGGTCCCCCAGGTGAGGAGGCCGGGGGGGAGGGGATGGGGGGACTCAGCGTGGGTCAGCGGTAAATACCCTGTCCTCTCCCCCAGCCCCCACTGGCCTGGTTTCTGTAGGCCCTACACAAAGCACCCCTGCTCCTCCCCCCATGTGTCTGTATTTGTAGGTGGGAGGGGGGTGGTCTGGGGCTTGGGGACATGAGGGTTCGGGGTCGGGACCCAGATCTCCCCATAACCCCCTGCCCCTCCCCCAGCAAGCCCTGGTGATCCGGGAAGGGGAGAAGATGCAGCTGAACGCGGAGGAGGTGGTCGTCGGGGACCTGGTGGAGGTGAAGGGGGGCGACCGCGTCCCTGCCGACCTGCGCATCATCTCGGCCCACGGCTGCAAGGTGAGACCCCCGCTCTGGTCCCCCCAATGCTCAGCCCCCCATCCCCCGCTCCGGCCCCCATCCCCCAACCTGCCACTCTGAGCCCCCCAACCCCCGCTTCTCCCCTAACTCTCAAAACCGCCGACGCTCCAACTCCCCATCTCCAAATGCCGCCCCTCCCCCAGCCCAGCCCCACCCCCAGGACTCCCAGCCCAGAGCCCCTTGAGCCCCCGCTCTGGGTTTCCCTGTTCCTCATCCCCCTGCCCTGCCCTGGGGTCCCATCTCCACGGTGGGGGGGGGCAGCCAATGGGCCGCACCCAGCTCTGACCCCGGGTCTGCCCCCCCACCCCCCCCGCAGGTGGATAATTCCTCCCTGACGGGCGAATCGGAGCCACAGACCCGCTCCCCCGACTGCACCCACGACAACCCGCTGGAGACCCGCAACATCACCTTCTTCTCCACCAACTGCGTCGAGGGTGAGCCCTGTGCGGGGGGCTGCGGGGCGGGAGTGAGGGGCACCGGCAGGGATGGGGGGGGGAGCCCAGGGCTGGGCCAGCAGGGGCTGTGGGTCGGAAGTGAGGGGCACCAGCAGGGCTGGGGGGCAGGGCTGGGCTGGCAGGGGCTGCGGGTTGGGAGTGAGGGGCACCAGCAGAGCTGGGGGGGCAGGGCTGGGCTGGCAGGGGCTGCGGGTTGGGAGTGAGGGGCACCAGCAGAGCTGGGGGGGCAGGGCTGGGCT